TGTGTTTTTATTACACTGTTGGTGCATATTGTTAACACTGTTGGTGTATTCTAGAATTTGACCGCACCGCCGCACCGTAAGACCCCGCCGCATATGAGCGCTCTTCTATATATATATATATATATATATATATATGCAAGATCAAGTGTGGCTGTACACTAAGGTGAGGCGGTGAGATCATTTTTCATCCGTTGATCAAGTCCAATCCAACGCACCATAATTGAGATGATTTCGCGCTTCACTTAAAGATCACCGCGACATAGAGGGCAAAATTGTCCATTCGTTCAATTCAAACTGATCACTTCTCCACTTCTGCAAGTAAACACCCCGTCCCGTCTCTATTCACAATCCCGAAGTCGCGAACCCTCTCCAACTTGCTCTTGCTCCGGCGACGAATGCGAGGTGAACCACTGCAACGACGAGAAACTTCAACGACGAACAGCGAGGAGACTATAGCCGAACACACCACCGCGTTCTGAGAGGGACACGAGCCGTCTTCTACAACACTGATTCGCTATAAAACACACAAATGGTGAACAAAGGCAAGCAACGAGCATGTAATGGTATATTTCGTTTATTATTGGTGTATTCTGTAATATTTAACTTCAATGTGTCAAATAGCATGTTAACCCTACCATCGCTGTATTCTTTTGAACATTTCAGACTAGGGCATCGCATTGCATGTTATTTGTGCATTATAAACATTAATGTAGTGTATATTTCGTTTATTTATGGTGTTTTCTGGTATTTGTGACATGAATATTGGTGAAAAAACTGTTGGGTGTTTAATTTTTGTACACAGTGCATATTTATCCTACCGTTGGTGTATTTCATATTATGAATTTGTTTTATCTCGTTACGTGTTGTCTGTCTATGATAAGCATTACTGTGGTGTATATTTCGTTTATGATTGGTGTTTTTTGAAACTCGAATACTTGTGAAAAATTTGTTGTGAGTTTATTTGTTGTACACTGTGCATATTTATCCTACAGTCGGTGTATTTTTGAGCATTACAGGATGGTCATTTCATTACGTGTTGTTTGTTTTATGGTGAACATCAATGTAGTGTATATACCATTTATTATTGGTAATTTCTGGGATTTGGAACTTGAATATTGGTGAAGAGTGTTGTGGTGTGTTTAATTTTTATGCATAGTGTATTTTTGTCCTATCATCTGTGTATTTCAGACAACAAGAGAAAGGCATTATTAGACCAAGGAGACTCGTCAAAGCCACGGAGGCATAGAAAACAAGAAGCAATGACATTCCTTGACAGAATAGAAGATGAAACAGAGATAGATGAGGAAGTGCATGAACAAGAAGTTGATGACAGCTCAAATGATGAAATAGATACATTGGAGCAAGAGAATGAAGATACTGACCTAAAGATAAGGCCACTGCCAACACAGTTAACAAAACCCATTAAAGACCTAACCAAACAACAACGCCAGAGTATAAAAGACATTGGGCTGGGAAGGATTCTTGACCTCAAAATCACAAACCTTCCAAGGAAACTGGGGATGTGGCTGGTTGAAAACTATGATGCAAGGAGCAACACATTGAATCTGCAAAATGGCCAAAAACTACAAATCACAGAAGAAGATGTTGCTGTGACATTGGGACTGCCACTTGGAGACATAGAAATCACAAAGAGGGAAAGTAAAGCAGTATCTAATCTCCTGGCAGACTGGAGAAAAATCTTTGGAAGGGCTGACGGCCACATCACCCCACGCAAGATGGCTAAAAAAATGTTGACATTGAGAGCTGCTGACCCATGGTTCAAACGGCATTTTGCATTACTTGTTATGAGTGTGTTGGTGGAGCTACAGATAAATGGTTATGTGAACCAAAGCTACATTGACAACTTGCATCAAGTTGACAACATCAAGAGGCTCAATTGGTGTAAAATGCTGATCAATTCATTCATTGCAAGCAAAAAGGCATGGCTGGAAAGCTGTGATGGAAGGTTTGGAGGTCCAATTGTTTTCCTAACGGTAAATAGACACTCAACAAGCTTGTAATTACTTTCACATCACCCTATGAATAATATAAACTACCAAATGCAGGTATTCTATGTTGACCGTGACCGTGTGGTGCTCTACCGGAGGTCTGTCCCAAGAAGCTACCCTGCCATGAATAGCTGGACATTTAAACTGCTTCGACAACGACAACAGGATGAGCTCATGTCTGGAGGATTTGGATATGGACGTGTTGATACTGCCTTACCACTGGAGATCACAACACACTGTGAAGCACCACCCCCACCCCCACCACAAGAAGAGACCCCACCACTGCCACAAGGATTACAGGTAACCCAACCACTGCAATGGTAATTGGTGCATTTTGTGTGTAATATGGTGCATTATCTGACTGTGGTGTATTGTTTATAAATATTTGGTGTATATTACAATATGTATTGGTGTGTTTATATTATAGTGTTTCATGTACAGGAATTTGTTGATGAGATTACCACCCACACTAGGTCAATTGCACAGAGTCTGCTGAGAATATCAAAGCTAATTGAAAATGCACCTGCAGCAGTATTGGAGCATGATACATTCAAACAGATGTTTGAATCTGCTAGGCAAATGCTTGGATTCAGAGCACAAGATGATGGAGAACTGACATTTACTCAACGAGAGGATGCCTATTGGAGTGACCCTGAGTTCTTGAAGGCAGTAGATGAGATTGTCCGTGCAGTAAACAAGAGAAATTTTCTAAATGATATGCCATCTTTTAGCCTTAGATTGACACCAGATGAACAAAATAAACAATGGGCGGACGTGAATGATATTGCACGAGACTACCAAAACATTGATCAGGCTGAAGAAAATGAGGAAGTAGAGCTGAATATGAATGAGGGTGAAGAAGCATCTGAAGGACAATAAGATGGATAGAGTGCTGAACCAGATGCACCTGCTGATAACAATGATGAGGTAATGCACTGTATTAAATTGGCGACGTGACAAAAAGAAAAAAAAATTAAAATCTAAATGTTACAGGTCACACCGGCAGAGCAAATTCAAGAGGGTCCTGCTTCAGATCCACCACCCCCACCCCAACCATTGGACAAAGGAAAGAGACCATCTAGAGGGAACAGCCCAATCAGACCTAAGGCCCGAATATATGCAACTGATCTGGAAGCCCCAATAACTTCAACAGAGGAATCGATCAGACAATGGGTATTAGAAAACCCTAACCCAGAACTGTAAGCACAACACATTCTACTTGGTGTATTTATAAGATATATTTGGTGCATTTTATAATAATATTGGTGTATAATAATCATATGTTAGCTAGTGCATTATTTGATAACTATTGGTGTGTTTATATGGTTGTCTGTGTTGACACATCAGGTGGTCATATTAGTTTGCTTAGGTTTTGTGTGATACTCAATAGTTATTAGTGTATATCTCTATATATATTGGTGTATTCTCTTTAAATGAAATATTAACTTCTAATGGTGTGTTACTGCTATAACTTCGGTGTATGATTTAATAATGATGTATTAATATTTTTGTTGCTTATACAATACATTATTACCAGTGAGTAGGAACTATTCAGGTATGAAGGACGGGTAATCTACTGGAGAGATATGCTGTTAATGGCGCCAGATACTGAGATTCCAGTATCTATAGTTGATGCTTGGGCAGCCATACTAAACATTCGTGAAGGAGAGAGAGGGTCTACAAGATTCGTTGCTTCAACCTGGACAAGTGTAAGCAAATAATATGAAAGTAACTACACCTGTAAAACCCCTACAAATCTAACAACTACATCATTGAACTTTGCAGCTGTACACAGTTGTGAACCCGCAGTGGGATGAAAAATTAAGATTTGAAAGATTCAAAGAAAAGTATCTGCAAGACAAGACGATTGCTATGGACATTGTGTGGCACAAAGTTGTATACATAAGTGGTGTATTTGTCTAATTGTGGTGCATTATTACTCATATAGTGGTGTATATTATGACACATGTGGTGTGTTTTTTGTTATGACAGTTTCTGTTTCCCATAGTGACATCCAACCACTACTACTTGCTGTCTATTAGCCCACTAATGGAAAAGTTTGACATCATTGACAACTCTTCAGCACCTGTGAAGAAACAGGACAAATACGGATATGTGCTTGACAATCTGGTAACCCACTAAACACTACCTGGTTATATATATATTTAATACACAACGACACAAAAAAACTAATATTGGTGTATGCTTCCTTGATGCAGCAAAAATTCTTTTCAAATATGTTGATCAAACAGAAAACCGCATACAAAGGTGAAAAGGTAAAGAAGCTGAAATCCAAGATAATGAAGATGCCTTGGAGAGATGCGCATAACAAAAAGGATTGTGACATCTTTTTAATGCGGCATATGGAAACCTTCCGTGGACAGTCAGCTGAAGAATGTGATTGTGGATTGCAGAAAAACAACAAAGAACAATTGAACAAGTTACTTGGCTGCCTTGATCACCTCAGATGTGAATGAACTGAGAGAAGTAAACATACAGAAGGCAGTAGAGTTTGGTGTTTAGGAAGACTTTCAATCATGTAAATGTTTTTTTGTGATGGCATGGCATAGACCATATGACTACTAGACAAACAATTTTTTGTGATGGGTACTTGTGAATGGCTTACCCATTTGCATTGCTATAAATGCAGTATTATTATGCATACACTTCATTTTATAAAAGGACACCTCAAAAACACCATTATAACAAATAGCATGCACCATTCCACTTTTTACTTGCAAAATACACCAACATGTGAAATAAAATGCACCACACAATATATTACAGCCAACATAAGTCTATATATAAAAATGCACCACAAAACGGAATAAAACACACCAGTCTAATATGAAAAAATCCGACATTCTTAAATGCACCACACCGTTTATTAAAAAACACCAAGTACTGTAATAAAATGCATAACTGTGTGTTATAAGAATTGTACGCAACTGTGAAAACATATATGTCCCAAATCAAACTACACAACTGTATCTAACCATTTAAAGGGCATGTCCTACTATTATGACCATATTCATCACAAGTATGGCATTTCCTTGATTGCTTTACACACTTGCTAGCAGCTTTCTCCCTTGTACTCTTCAACCGCTTACCGCTACCCTTGTTCTTAGCTTGAATGGGATCACGCACCTCCACTGTTGAACCCTGAGACACATCTCCACAAAATGAATTGATCACACTTTGTTTGCTGCCACCAGCCACCACCCCACTGCCATCCTCACTCCCCTCTTGGAGAAATAATTGCCTTTGCTCACAAATAACACGTCGTAGCTGTGACAAACGTTCTATATTACCATCGGCCAAGCCCTCGCAAGCATATATGTCAGACCACAATAGATTAGTAAAAATCCTAACATTCTCCACTTTAGAAGATTGATCAACAATTGTATCATCAATATGAAATATTGGCTTCAAACAAGCACCCTTTGTCCACCGAGACACCACATACCTAGAAGGAATACTCTCAAGCCCACGATCTTTAAACACAAAAAAAATATGCCTACACAACAACCCCGTCCGCTCAAACATCTTGCAAGAACATGTAGCAGTATAATCAGACAAGACTAGCTCCACATACCATGCCCGTTGGGCACCATCTTTTATCCCATATGACACATGGCCATCACAATCACACAAAGACACCACTTGAGACGAATAACAAGCTGCACAAATCTCTACTTGAACATCATAAAATACAGAAATGGTGTAAACATCCATTGCATGCTTCTCCAAAGCCAATGGTGTCTTCAAAACAGGAAAACAAGATTCACAATCAGCATTCAATTTTGCTTGTGCATGACGCTGCGCACCAACAGCACTTCCAAAATGCACCAAGAACTCAACCAAACTAGAATGACCATTAGAGAACATACCGAAAAAACTATTTTGAGACTCTGATCGAGACGTTTTCCTAACCAGTCCTGACATAAACTCGTCATGAAAATATGGGGATGCCCAATATGTACGAGACTCGAACAAGTAACGAAACCAACCATTGTCACCCAAACCATATTCCTCCATGATACAACTCCATGCCTCCTCAAATGACTTGGAGTCCAGTGATTTGTTCCAGACAATGCCATTCAATCCTCCTAAACACTTCATCTTTAGATAGAATTGGTCTAACCTTCTCACCAACCTTACACATTATATGCCACATGCAAAATCTATGTTTTGATGTACCAAACACGCGAGCAACAACAACCTTGAGAGCTGGATCTTGATCAGTAACAACACATATAGGGTCATGACACATAGTTTTCTTAAATTTCTCCAAAAGCCACACATATGATTCTACATCTTCCCTCGTAAGCAAACCAGCACCGAAGGTGATGGATCTCTTATGGTTATCAATTCCAGTAAATGGAACAAACACCAACTTATACCTACAACACAACAAGCAATCAACACCATACTTCTAAGAAGACACACCATAAGGTATGTAATAATGCACCACAGACAAATACAACATGCACAATAGAAATAAATACTAACCTGTTAGTATGGTATGTAGCATCAAAAGAAACAACATCACCAAACAACGCAAAATTCTTCCTAGATACTGCATCCGCCCAAAAAACACTTGAAAGCTGATCACATTCATCAACATCATATTCAAAATCAAATGCCTCACACAACTCACGTCTCTTGAATAGCGTGTCTATGAATAATTGAGCATCACCATTTAGAATGTACGCCATCAGGTCACGCTTGAAATTCTTAAAATCCACACCTGTAGCCCCGACACTGGAATACTCACCAACAATCTCTTTAAACAGCCTATATGACCGAACAGACCCAATATTTGCCCGAACACAACTAGCAATAAACATTTGGTGCCTAGCATCGAGACTACGATTCACCTTTAAAAATTGCCTAGCAATAATTGAACACATCGAATGGGTGTGACGTTCCTCAAAATAATGCACAACATACAACCCATTAGACTTACGCTTTATCACAATCTTAGCCTTACAACCAACCCTATTTGTCACCCTCCGTCTCTTCGCCAAAGTAGTTTTAGCAACCCTAGAAACCCTCTGCTTAAAACCCTGACGGTTACATACTACGTGCTTCTCCACAGCAGCACCATCCCTATCTTTCCGAATTGAGTGCTGCCTACAATCAAACCCAACAGTCCCAGCATATTGTTTATAAAACACAACAGCACCATCCAAGGAAACAAATTGTTGCCCCACAATAGGCTTCACACTGTCAGCACAAACTGGGCGCCAATACTTAGTCAGCCCAGGAGAAGTTTCCAACACACATACACTGCCTTGTACACCCACATCAGCCAAATAATCTTCATCGCAACCCACATCACTGCCTGCTACTCCAACATCAGTCACATTACCATCATCGCAACCATCACCATTGCATTCTACACCAACATCAGTGGGATTACCTTCATCACAAACACCACCACTGCCTTCTCCACAAACATCAGTTGAGTTATCACAAACACCACCACTGCCTTCTCCACAAACACCACCAGATTGCAAAACATCAGCTGCACACCACATGATAACTAATAAAGCACCACACCTTATCCAATACCACACGAATAACCCTACCTACATGCACATTATACATGCATAAAATCTAATACTGCCATACACATCATCAAATAATATATGCACCACGAGTATACAAAAAGTAAACCGTAATCACAAAACAACACACAGCAACATAGTCAACATCGATACACAGCAAATTCATAAAAAAAAGCATGCGATAAACTTCCAAATCATAACAGGCACATAGTAATACAAAAGACAAATTAAAACTACAAACATGAGAAATTCAAAACATACCAGGCTCCATCGCTCAACCTCAATAATCTCCCAACTGCGATAATCTGTAATTGCAAACGCAACTGATATCTCGTCCAACTTCCGATTGTGATCTCTAGCGATAATCTCCGAATTCCAATTGGGACGCAATCACGAACACGATCGCGATCTTGATCTTCTTCCAATTACGACGCGATCACGAACGATGTCTTGATCTCTCTTTCCTTCCGTGTTTAAAATCACACAAAATCCGTCTTTTATACATTCACGTCCCCATCCCATTAAATTACTGAAACGCCCCCGCTTACCAAAAACGCGAAAGACTTTACTTAATTCAACTAATATATCACTGCCGTTAGATTAGCTTCGATCAACGGCTGTAAACTGACCTCACCGCCTCACCTAAGGCCGTGACCGCATATGAGCATCTACCTATATATATATATATATATATATATATATATATATATATATATATATATATATATATATATATATATATATATATATATATATATATATTCTATATCTATATCTATAGATATAGAATTTTTCTCATGCAAAAATATTTTGCAGGAATTTTAAAAAAAAAAAAATAGGCCCATCAGACACGTTGTTGTGTCTCACGGGCGACGACAAATTATTGTGTGAAACCATGATCCACGCAGTGTTATGTGGACCATAATAAAAAGTATATTTTTAATATACTAAATGTACATTATTTTTGTGATGTATGTACATTATACAATATTTTTTTTGAATGCTACTAGCTCTATTACAATGTAGTATCTGTTCATATACTTTCTCAACCTACTGAAACACAAGGAGCCAATAACGCCTCCACTGAGTACAAAAATAATATACATCCCCTGAATACAATGTACATTATTTTTGTACTAAATGTACATTATTTTACAATATACAAAATATGGTCCATACAACTTGTGTGGACCATAATGATTGACAGGCGAACCAGCGAGCATGTGTAAGGCGATTGAGAGTCGCCAGCTCAATCGTTATTCTTTAATAAAAAAAATACAAAAATAATATACATCCCCTGAATACAATGTACATTATTTTTGTACTAAATGTACATTATTTTACAATATACAAAATATGGTCCATACAACTTGTGTGGACCATAATGATTGACAGGCGAACCAGCGGGCATGTGTAAGGCGATTGAGAGTCGCCAGCTCAATCGTTATTCTTTAATAAAAAAAATCTTTCTGTTTTCTTTTAGCAGCTTTTGTATGCTATTGACTCTATTACAATGTAGTATCTGTTCATATACTTTCTCAACCTACTAAAACACAAAGGACCAATAACACCTCCACTGAGATTCAAACTCACAACCTTCCAAATGGAAGTCCAACCCGGGTACCATTAAACCACATAGTCTTGGTTATTATTTTTGTTTTTAATTTTTCATAAAATTTAAATATGTAATATAATTTTTGAATTAAATTTTGAATGATTTAATTATAATTAAATTTAAAGAAAGAAAATAAAATAATAGAGAGTAAAGTAGGAAAAAAAATATTAAAATCAAAATAATTTGAACAATTCATTTCATCAAATAATTGGACGGACATTTTTTAGTTCTTATTATAGGCCTAACTTTATTGACTCTTATTTGTGTGTGTGTGTGTGTGTGTGTGTGTGTGTGTAGTTAGCACACACGCATTGCGCGAATAGTTTGATGCCCAATGTGTATTATTAAATTATTGTTTTAGAGTTTATGAAAATATCATTCGGTATCTCCTATCGTATATCAATGCAATATTATCAAATTTTCTATAAAAGTAAATATTTTAAGAATTTATAAATATGACTTGTGGCAGAAATGTTTTATTAACTAGTACAATAGCAGTTTTAGAGGGAAACGCCCTCACTGGATGGTACCCAAGCATAATTTTTTCAACACAGAACCATATTATTTTTACCAGTTTGGCGTGATCCATGCTTCCTCTTATTGCCACTTCCAACCGAAATGAATTCTTGATTAATTAACCAAAGTTAATGTTAAATTTTATATTATATATTTTTAAATACACTGTAATATACTCAAAGTATATGTTAACAAGTATGCCAATTCCGATTGGTATGAGGTTCGAACTTAAGACCTTCCTTATGAAAATCACTGAGGAAGTTAAGAATAATAAATAGTTAACGAAATATTCTGTTATTAAAATTTACATTAACAAAATGCAATGATATTTAAGAAAAAGTAAATGATATAATAGACTTTCAAAAAAAAAATGATATAATAGATGACAAAAGTAGAAAAAATACTAAAATCAAAATAATATGAACTATTCATTTTCAACTAACAACACCAACGTTTTTTTTAGTTTCATTAGAGACCTAACTTTATGGACTCTTATTAAGTTTGTAGATGTATATATATAGTAAATTTTTAATGCATTGATTTTATTTGTATTTTAAACAAAAAAAAAAAAAGTTTCTATCAAGGTCTACTATATAAGCAATGATATTCAACATCAAAGAACTATGCAAATTATTCAGTGGACCCGGGTTTAAATGTTCACAATTTATATTTTAAAAATTCATAATTTGTATACTATGAACACACAATGTTAATATATATGTAACAAATTTTTGAAAGCATATATTTAATTGATTACCTTGTTTTGTATTCACAAGTTCATTTTAAATACTACAGTCACACAATTTAACAAATTATGATTTGATGACCTTATATTGTATTCACAAATTCCCTTCTACAACTGTTATGTGTTTCAACTTAGAAACACAATTTATATTCTAGAAGTTTACAGTTTCAATATTAAAAATACACAATTCATACGTCATTTAGGATCAGGGTCCACCTTGCAAGGTTGACCCTTATCCTAAATTGTGTATTTTTAGTATTGGAATTGTGAACATTTAGAATATAAATTGTGTTTCTAAGTTTTGAGAATTTATGAATACAATACATGGTCATCACAAATTGTAAATGTTTAAAAGGTAAATTGTGAACATTTAGTATGTAAATTGTGTATTTTGAATCCGCGTCCACCTTGTAAGGCAAATTATTGTATCTACATAGTTGTGTGGACCATGAATACAAAGTACATTTTTAATCTACTAAAAGTACATTATTTAATAGTATATATAAATAATGTACTTTCAAATAATGTAATTTATGTACATAAATAATGTATTTTTAGTATATTAAAAATTTACTTTTTATTTATGGTTCACACAGTTGTATGAATCATGGTCCATTGTAATAATGATTGACCTTGTAATTTGGGCAAATTATGCTGTGGAAACGTGTTCACCATGCGCATGGTGAACACAAGTGTAGATCCATAATTTCTATCATGTAGATTCATAATTTTGTACAGTATAGAAATTATGAATCTACAATATAGAAATTACAATATAAAAATTATGAATATACAGTATAGATGTTATGAATCTACACTATAAAAATTATAAATCTACAGTATATAAATTATGAATTTATCTTGTGTTCATCATGTGCATGTTGAACACGTTTCCACAGCATAACTTCCCTGTAATTGCCATAACAACTCAAAGAACTAATATTGGGCCTCTCTAAATTAATGGTATGGGAAACGTCGGCCGAATATTATAATTACAAGGGAAATTTTCCTTCAAACAAATTGGGCCCAAGAAAAACTCCATTGGATCAGCAGAAAAAGAAAAACTACAAATAAAAAATGAAGAAAATAGTTTATTATTATTATTATTATTATTATTATTATTATTATTATTATTATTATTATTATTATTATTATTATTATTATTATTATTATTATTATTATTATTATTATTATTACTATTATTACTATTATTACTATTATTATTATTATTATTATTATTAGGAATAAGGGTCAAATAGGCCATTCAACTGCATACGATAAAACAATCAGGCCACTGAACCTAAAAAACCAACAATTAGGTCCCTAAACTAATCAATTTCAAACAATTATTCCAATTTGAAGGTTTCCAACAGGTCAACAGGTCATCTCCTAAATTAATTATTTTTTAAAAAATAAATTTTAAAAATTAATTAGTTTTAAATTAAACTAAAAAAAAAAAAAAAAAAAAAAACTGAAATCCAGCCGGAGACTACCGTCTCCGGCCGGAACCAGTTTTTTTTTTTTTTTTTTTAGTTTAATTTAAAAGTAATTAATTTTTAAAATTTAAATTTTAAAAAATAATTAATTTGGAATGATGACCTGTTGGAAATCTTCAAATTGAAAAAATTGTTTGAAATTGATTAGTTTAGAGACCTAATTGTTGGGTTTTTAAGTTCAGTGGCCTAATTGTTTTATCGGGTGCAGTTCGATGGCCTATTTGACCCTTATTATTATTATTATTATTATTATTATTATTATTATTATTATTCTTGTTGTTGTTGTTGTTGTTGTTATTATTATTATATTATTGTTATTATTGTTATTATTGTTATTATTATTGTTATTATTATTATTATTATTATTATTATTATTATTATTATTATTATTATTATTATTATTATTATTGTTATTGTTGTTGTTGTTGTTGTTGTTGTTGTTGTTGTTCTTACTATTACTATTACTATTACTATTACTATTGTTCTTCTTATTGTTGTTGTTGTTGTTGTTGTTGTTATTATTATTGTTATTATTATTATTATTATTATTATTATTATTATTATTATTATTATTATTATTATTATTATTATTATTGAAAAATAGGGTGAATCAACGATTTGGTCCCTCAGTTATTAGCGACTTGTCAATGTAGCCCCTCAATCGCGTATTCATCAATTTGGTCCCCGAAAATAATTGTTTTTCGTCAATTTAGTCCCTATGGCCGTATTCCGTCAAGACTCAGGCGAGAGCTCCGATTTGCCCTGGGCATTTTGGTCTTTTCACGCCTTCTTCTTCATTAACTCTGACCAAGCTTCGCCGGAGAAGCTGAAGCTCGCCGGAGGAAGCTCCATCTCTTCTCTTCTCGTCGAAATGAGCTCATCGCCGTATATCCTCCGCGCGAGCGTTCAACTTCGACGAACGCACAACTCTGTCGCCCATAACACGCTTTGCCGACCAATACTGCTGTTGTTGGCGCCGTCGCTTGATGAACCAAAAACGTGGCCGCCTATATTCACCGCCGCTTGGTACGCGTACTGATCGTCCCCGTCGTCCACTGACCTCATCCGCACGCACTGGAACACCGCCGTCAGGCTCACTTTCGCCTAGAGTTTTCTGATTTTACCTTGACTGGTATTGCAAATGCCTGTGGGTTGTTGATGGAAAGAAAGTCGAGTAAGCAGATTCACGGGTTTATTCTTAAGTCTGGCTGTGAGCCAAATGATTGTATCGAGGCTGCATTGCTTGACATGTGCACTCGGTGTGGGAGAATGCCACTGGACCACGGTAGATTGATTGCATTGACATCTATGCTACGTGGATATGCTCAGAACGGGCAGCCAGAAAAAACAATTTCTCTATTTTTTGAAACGCAGTTAGAAGGACTACTAGTCATGGATGAAGTTGCAACAGCTACTGTTTTTGGCGTTTGTGGAACTTTAGGGTTACTTAAGTTAGGGGAAAATCTCCATTATATTGCCTTGCCTTGAAACATGGTTTTATGTCTGACGTGGTCGTTGGGAATGCTGTAATTAGCATGTATGCCAAGTGTGGTGAATTGGAAGATGCAGTTAAGGCATTTGAGCTTATGTCATCCCGTGATTTATGTTCATGGAATAGTTTGTTAGCTGGTTATGTCCTTCATAGGCGGAGAGATGAAGCTTTGGATACATGGTCAAGGATGGAAAGGAAATACTAGGAATACAGCCAGACTCCTTTACCTCTCTCCATATACTTTCAGCATACAGACACACTACAACAAATTTAGTTAATCGTTGCCAAAGTTTCTTTTTCTCAATGCAGTCTGCATATGGTGTGTTGCCAGTGCTCGGAGCTTGTGAGGGCAGAGATTAAGGAGAAGGGGTTCCAAAAAATCCCGGGCCAAAGTTGTGTTATCTGTCTCCGGCGAAGCTTGGTCAGAGTTAATGAAGAAGAAGGCGTGAAAAGACCAAAATTGCCCAGGACAAATCGGAGCTCTCGCCTGAGTCTTGACGGAATACGGGCATAGGGACTAAATTGACGAAAAACAATTATTTTCAGGGACCAAATCGATGAATACACGATTGAGAGGCTACATTGACAAGTCGCTAATAACTGAGGGACCAAATCGTTGATTCACCCTAAAAAATACATAAAGAAAATATGACTTGAATCTAAAATTTCATATCTAGAGCTTATGCCTTTAGACACAAGGTCATTAAGGGGAAAGAAAATAATATGGGATAGAAGTTGGCAAAGAAAAAAAGTATAGGTATTCCCTTGATATTAATATATATTTTTCATTAACCTAACAGGGTAGCTCAAGTGACAAATAAGTTCTCTTTGTGGGGGAGAATTGAAGGATAACTTGGGTTCGATTCCCACTAATAATGTTAGTTGTTTAACTGAAACACAAAAAAAAAAAAAAAATTGTTGCAGTAATTGTTTTTTAAATTGAATTGTTCATATTATTTTGATTTTAGGAATTTTTTAATGATTTTTCTTATTTATCCTATATTATATTATTTTCTTTACATAAATAACTTTAAATTACGTTAGTATAAACTTTAGTAACAAAATATTTCGTTAACTATTTATTATTCTTAACTTACTCATTAATTTTTATAAGAATGGTTTAAGGTTCGAATCTCATCCCATTTAGAGTTGGTATAATTGTTAAACATATATTATGAATATGTTAAAATGTATTAAAAATATAAAATCAAAATTTAATATAAACTTTGGTCAAATAATTAGTCCGACTAAATACATAGCATTCAAAGTTGAGCATCAAAGATTGTAAATCAGGAACTTTAAAAATTATTTGATTTTCTTGCATTTAAAAAAAAATTAGGTTGAGTTTTTTTTTTTTTTTGTTTTTTTTTTTTTCGTTTAATTAATCTTCTTTTGATTATTTAGAACAAAATTGAATATTTCAATTATGCTTTTGCATTATTGGAATGATTTAGGACATTATGGTATTAATATTTTTTGTAGACAGAAGTGTCAAATAGGCCCATCTGATATTGCGAAATTCTCAATTCCCACCACGAACTAAATTAAGTGTCAAATAGACCCATTTACCAGCTAAATTTGTTCGATTGACTTTTTTTGCAGGTTGCTAACAGGTTGCCTATTCAATTATTAAAAAAATATAAATAAATAAATAAATAAATAAATAAATATATATATATATATATATATATATATATATATATATATATATATATATATATATATATATATATATATATATATATATATATATATATATATATATATTATAAAAAAAAAAAAATTTCAGCCACCGACTGCCCGTGCTGGACAGCCGTAGCTGCCCGACAAGGACAGCCGGACAGCCACGGCTGTCAAAGATGAGGTCCAAATCTGGACCTTAAACGGCGTGGAACGAGGGCGGCGGCGGCGGCCGCCCTCGTTCGAAACGGCCATGGCCGTCCCCAGACAGCCATGGGCATCTAAAAATTCCAAACGGTCAAATTCGAATTTTTTTTAGACAGCCATGCCCGTTTGGAACATGGCCGCCGCCCTTGTTCCAGGCCGTTTGAGGTCCAGATCTGGACCTCATCTTTGACAGCCGTGGCTGTCCGGCTGTCCTCGCCGGACAGCCGGTGGCTGAAATTCGTCTTCTTATATATATATATATATATATATATATATATATATATATATATATATATATATATATATATATATATATATATATATATATAATTGAATAAGCAACCTGTTAGCAACCTGCAAAAAAAGTCAATCGAACAAATTTAGCTGGTAGATGGGTCTATTTGACGCTTAATTTAGTTCGTGGTGAAAATTGAGCACTTTGTAATAATAGATAGGCCTATTTGACACTTTTGCCAACATTACTTTAAAACTATTATACTATTTTTTTTTATCATACAAAATTGTTTTTACATCATTGTTAGACCTGCGCGGCCTAACTACAAAGTTTTTTATCATAAATACAATTACAGATGGACTCTAAAACGGTTGGATCATTTTGTAAATAATTGACAATGTTGACATCTTACTAGCTCCAATAGAACAAGTTTACACATTAGGATTTTATGAATGCATAAAAACTTCTAAAGAAATTTGTAAATTAATTTTTAGTATATCATTATAACAATATTATCTATTGTAACCATATATTTTGAATTATTTATTATCATCTTCTATTGACAGCAATTGTAGCAATTGTCATTGACAAACTCTCAAAGCAATTTGTCTCAACAATGAATGGAATTTTTTTAAAAAAAAAAATCAATGATTTCATTATTGTTGATGAAAAGTATGTAAGCCACTTTATTAATATTATTAAATTAAATAGATTAGTAGCTACAACACAAAATAATGCATACGCATTTAATTAATTTAGAAGTAGATATCTATAATGCCTTTATTTAAAAAAATTTATTCATTATAAAATTTTTCAAAACAAATATAATTTCATTAGTTATATTATCTTTATTTTCTACAGTTTAAAGATTCCTTACCTTCAAATTTATTAATTTATTATATTCAATACATTGTCCATTGTCTTCTTTTTACATTATCTTGTAATTAAATATTATCTTGTAATTAAATATCAAAGTTATAATACAAAACATGTTATATATATATATATATATATATATATATATATATATATATATATATATATATATATATATTTACCAAGTATTTTATACAAATATAATAAATATTAATATTTTGTTCAATACTTTCACATGATAACTTACGACACAAATCTCACAACACATGAAACATGTAGGGGAAAAACTACCACTACCAAATATCAATATGTGCAGTGCTTTTAAGATAAAGAGTTAATATTACAACTAAAATCCTATAGTCATATACACAGCAAGACAAATCTAAAGCTTCTTACACCATAATCTCATTGCATATATAATGAATCCCTCTATGCTACCACCAGTAACCCAATTGCACATGACACACTACCAATAAAAAAAAATTAGAAAATTGAAGATGAAGACAATGACAATGCTACCCAAAAGAGAATTGAGAAGAAATAGAAAAATTTAAACCAAAAGTAGTATTTATTTAGACTATCGCTTTAAACTAAGTATTTAGACTAGCGTTATTACAAACTTACAAACATTTATTTTAGTGACAATTATAATCAATCTCTCATATATTATCTTGCATTTATATACTTCAAATTACTGATTTAAATAAACAAATTCAACATTTATTTACTTATGCATAAACATTCCCTATATAATATTGCATTGATATACTTTGAAATACTTATTTAAAAATAATCATTGACCATTATCCCATTCGCGCAAAGCTTGTAAAAAAATTAGTACACAAGAATATGAACGCATCTAATTTTGTTGGTGAGATATAAAAAAAAGGGTTCAATTTCATATGTATTAAAAAAATTTAAAAGTTTGTACTATTTATAAAATTCAAAATTGAATATGTTAGATGTCATCAGATTGAATGATGACACACAAATTTCTTTGCAAGCAGAATAAATTAAAGTTTTTTTTTTTATTTTTTTTTTATTTTTTTTTAATGCTACTTGTGAGTATAAATGTAGGAAGTATTTTGATTTGTAAAATAACATTTTAGAATTAGAAATTAGTTTTTTGGATGTGGATATTATAATTAAAACATTATGTGTAATTAAATTTGCTATTGAAATGTATAATTTTTGTAGTGATATTGTATTGTTATGTAATTATTATTTGTTTTAAAATTGCTAAAGCATTGTATAATTTGTATGAAAGAGCATATTGAAATAGTAAATTTTTTTTAAAAAGATTAAAAGAATACTTATTATGTATGACCACCTGTGGTCGGAATTTTGCGAACACAACAGTTGGTTGGTTCGGAATTTCCAACCACAACAATTGGCTGGTTCAGAAATTCCGAACCAGCCAATCTGTTGGTGGACCTTTTTTTTATGACAACTTGGGATTAGTGGTTGCTATTTTCTGACCACCGTTGCGGGTGGTCGGAACTCGAAAATAACGAGCAAGATTTTTCTGGATACCCAATGTAGTTAGAAAAGTTTTCAGAAAAGATATTTCTACCGTATTTTTCAGCAGTGTCTTATTTTTTAAATATTGATTATCTTAGATTGACAATTTTTTATCAAAAGTTTTATTTTCATTTAATCATGATTTTATATATATATATATATATATATATATATATATATATATATATATATATATATATATATATATATATATATGTGTGTGTGTGTGTGTGTGTGTGTGTGTGTGTGTGTGTGTGTGTGTGTGTGTGTGTGTGTGTGTGTGTGTGTGTGTGTGGGGACTTCCAAATTAGAGGGTCAGTCAGCTTTGAAACTTTGGTCACGTGAGTGTTTGAGAATATGGGCTGTCAAGCACGTGCTATATATTTTTGACTTGCAGGCTTGCAGCTAGCTTGCATCCAACTCTCACACTTTTGGGGGCATTTAATTTAAGGAATGTCGTTTTTTTTTCCTAACAATGTAATATTTTTGAGAATTTAGCATAATCTAATAAAATTTGCGAAAGCTGGAATTCCTATGAATGCAACAAAAAGAACTAAAAGTAGGTTTGAAACTCTCACATTTTCTAAGTATGTCTTGCATTTTCTTGAATCACATAAGAGTATATAACATTTCAATGTTTATATTTAAGTTTGGGAAAATAACATTTTTTTGATCTATTATTATTATTATTATTATTATTATTATTATTATTATTATTATTATATTTTATTATATTTTTGGTTAGATCTTAGGTTTCCTTCATTGGTCGACTAGTAACCACACATCGAGACTAATCATGTTCCTACCGAGTAGAACCTCAGAGGTAGAGTGATAGATGGGTGACAAATTAAATTAAAGCACTCCTTCATAGGACTTTTTGTTCGTGAAATATAGGGAAATAACACTTCCGATTCTCAATTATCCCGATTGCCACTCTTCCTTCTTTCTTGAATTCTATTATACGGAGTAGTTAGATTTAAAAAGTCATTTCGTAA